ATGGCTTTCGGTTGATTGGAAGATGATTTTTTATTTATTTGTCTTTTTTTTAAAAAAAAAAAAAGTAGGCTCATGGAATAAGTATTGGTAATTATTCTTTTCAGTATTTTAAAATTTCTCATATACTTATTTTATAGAACACAATGTAAATTGTTTTTTAGGACATTGATTGGTTAGATTATATAAAGTGACACCCCAAAATTAAAACTTTTCATTTTTATACTCTTTTTTTTAAGGTATGATAAATTTTCTTATTTGTTTGATTTTTGTTAATAGATAATGACAGCTGCCTCTTAATTTAGCCAAGTACAAAAATATTAAAAACACCTTATTTTTTTTAAAAAAAATTATTATTACTAAAATAAAAAAATTCAATTATTTTTGTTCTATTGTCACTTTTTTTTTTATGGAAGTATATTATGGTTGTTGTAATGCTTTCATGGACTATTTTCCTCAATCCTTCCAACTTGCCGATACTAAACTAAAGAAAAAAAAGTTCTCAATTTTTTATTTTTCATGTAATTTTTTAAGTTAAATAACTCCAAAGGCACTCCTAGGAGTTGTAGTAATTCACTAGCCGATTGCTTACGCTACGCTGTAGGTCTAGTTTATTTTAAAATTTTAAAATTTTTTAATTATAATTTTTTATTTAATTAATTTATTTAATGTTTTTTATAATTGTTTTTGCTTAAAAAAAACATAAATCATTCTTCTTTATGGATTCATTTTAACTAAAATATTAATCAAGAATTAAAAAAATTTAAAAATATATTTTTCACAATATTGTATTCCAAAAAATAAATTTATAATTAATAGATAGCCTTTTATAAAAAGTAACAAATGGAAAAAAATTTATTATTTAATACCGATAAGAATATTAATTTTTGAAATTATCCACACAACGCTACGGGTAAATAAAAAAAATTATTTCAAAATTTTATAGTTTTTTATTTAATTATTACTATTTTTTATGTTTTTCATAAAATTTACGCTTAAAAAAACCTGATTTATTTTTCATTATTTAGGGATTCCTAAATTAAAAATTTTAATATATAATTTAAACATCAAATAGTAATTAAGAATTTAAAAATAAATACTTTAAAAATATATTATTTTATAAGAATATATTCAAAAAATTAAGTTACAATTAATGTATAGACTTGCATAAAAATTAACCAATGAAAAAATAAAATTTTATTCTGATTTATTGTTGATGAGAAGAATTTTTTTAAAAAAAGTACATACATTTGATGCATATATATTATATAATCGTCGGTTTGTGTAAAAAAAGTAACAATTGATTTTGAAAAATTTTAACACCCAATTAAATAAAAAAACATAAATTGATAAAAAAAATCAAAGAAAAAAAGGCATATAGTGCATTAGCTAGGAATTAAAATTTTTATTTTAAAATTTTAGGGATTAAAACAAAATAATTTAAAAATTATAAAAAACAAAAACCTAAGAAAAAAGGTAAGAGTGAAAATTATAAAAAACAAAAAAAAAACGAAATAATTTGAAAATTATATATAAAAAAAAAACTAAGAGGAAAAGAAAAACAAACTAGGAGTGAAAAGAAAAAAAAACTTAAAAGTGAATAGTACATTATAAGGGTAAAAAAAAAAAAAAAGAGTGAATAATACAAAAAAAAGTTTTGGATAGTAAACTTTATTCAGTTTTAGTATAGTAAGGATAAAAATCAAACATAATAAAACTTTAATAACTAAAATAAGAATAAGAAAAAGAGCATAAATTTTTACTTAAAACAAAAAAAAATATTTATTATAGAAATAAAAATAAAATATAATAAAATTTTAATATTTATTATAGAGATAGAAATCAAATATAATAAAATTTTAATGATCAAAATAAAAAAAAATATAAAATAGGGATAAAATAAAAAAAATTCGAAAATCTTTGCCAAGCAACCCGAAGGGGAAAAAAAAAAAAAGAAGAAGAAGAAGAAAAGAAAAAGAAAGAGATGCAAACAGTGAATGAACAGTAAAGTGCTGTCATAATGCCTAAGCGTGCAATAAGTTTGGGCAACACGTGCAGCATAACCTCATTAGGATGTAGTAAATCAAGGCTCTCCCTCTTTAGGTCTAGCGTAGACCCCAAGGGCGGCTCTTCCCGCCCCACCTCACCCCATCACCCTTGCTTAGGAGGATCCCTTAGGCACCGCCGTAGCCACCACTCTCTCCTTGTTCTTATCGAGGTGCATCGATCCAACTGTCATGAAGAGAACTAAGGTCCTCGAGTTAGGGCACCTATACTTCTGCTACTCCGGCCATCTATTCCTTCACATCTCCTGTCTAGGCCACCCTGCAGGACCCTTGCCCCGGGTGGAGCACCGGCCGGAGCGCCCTCAGCGGGAGCCCTTAACATCCGAAGCTTCGTTAAAGAGCCTCACCATTCCAAAGGCATCCATGGGGGACTTGCAGCAGTTTCTGCCCACACATGCAGTAATTCCTTGGCCTCCCCCACATTTCCAAAAGCACCATTATATCCCCAACCAATGCAGTCAATTTGGGTAGTGCATGTAGTACATTGAATATTAGAACGCAGTAAATCGAGAAAAATAGTGGATTAGTATATTTTTGAAATGCTGTTGTTTCTTTTTCCTTTTTTACTTAAGCAATATCGATGTTAAGCATCTCAAGTATTTTTCTTAAAACAAATATGATTTGAAGAATTTATTTCTTTATAAAATATTTTTAATCTATATGTCTAGATTTTTCTATGGAAAATTAATATTCCAAAAAACTGTAAGAAAGGAAAATAATTGTATTCCAAAAAAAAAAAGTAATTATATTCCCAAAAAAAGTATCTAGGTTTGAATGTTCTATGCACAATCATTTTCCTTGGTGGACGAACAAACGTAACCTGATATATATATATATATATATATATATATATATATATATCTTGCAACAGACATTTAAACCTAATTAGGTTGTGTCATTTCAGCATTTTGTCATTTCAACATTTCAGTAAATTTTTCATTGCTATTTACCAAACTTCTCAACCGTAGTTTTTGAAAAAGCTGCAAAATCCCACTTCATTTCAAGTGAGCATATGATGGAAAGGGTACTGCAGTGCTTCCCACATGCCGATCCAACCATGATGATATGCTCAACAAAAGTCGAGGGTATCATTTCAACTCTAAATAAAGCATGGACTTTTGAAAAAAATAAGAAAAGCCTGCCCTGGAAGTGCAAATTATTTTTTATGCACTTCTCTACAAAATGATGCTTTCTGTTCTTTTCATGTAATTTATATTTTTGTTTCCACAGATTACAGGATAATGCTTTTGCTGCCTTTTTGCTTCAGTGCTATCCCTCTTTGTTCTTAAATTAGTAGTCCCTATATATATATATATCTTTTGATCCTGAGTGACATGGAGATCAAAACATGGGACATACAGCAACGGATGCTATGGTCAAGCAATTACAAGTACAAAAAAAAAAAAAAAAAAGTAGGTATTTCAGCCTGTCACTTCAATAACCAAGAGACTTAGATATTCCATCCTTGGACAAAACACAGGGTTAGTAAGGGACCCCATGTGCTAGTTGATGATGAAAATGCTTCTCGAGGGCCCAACACCATTTATTTTTGGCTGACTCCAGCAGGTAAGTAGGGACAACTCATTGCTTTTAATCCTCGCACATGCCTGGCCAAATTTCACTAGAAGAAATGTTACTAGTCTAGTTTTTCTAGGGTGAAGAAAAGGATAGCTGTTCAAAGGTGCGTCACCATTATTGAGAAGGGAAAAGCAGGGGTTAGGCAATGACATTACAAAGAGACTAATAAAAAGAATGAAGGAAAAGGTTCAACCCATGTGATTTAGCCCCTGAAACTCATTGGAAACAGTGACATTGAAGACAATCTAAAAGGAAAGGAACAAATAATGCATTTAAACAAAGTTGATTATGAACAACTAAAGACATGGGTTGGCAACATTTAAAAAAGAAAGCTTCTATTCCGACAGCATCATCTTGTGTAATATTCTATTCCAATACCTTGACAATCTTTATGTCCACGGCATTGGCTCTTCCTAGCTGTTGTCCTACCTTACCCTTTTGTCCCAGTATATATCTTGTTTTTATCTGTCTCTCCCTATTATTCAATTGAGCACTAAGATTATTTGCTTCAAAGTGGGTGCTAAGAATCTTTGGAGTCATCGGGGTCTCAAGTCACTTTTGACTTGTAGGAAAGTATTTTAATACTTCCACCGTTGCTATCACTGATTACACATGATTTTGATAATAAATGAAACGAGCATTCTTTATTTGAACTGTGGAGACTCAAATTTGCCATTTTCTCCCAAGTCCAAGAATATCAAAACTTCCTCTCTTCAAAAGCCAAAAAAAAAAAATCTCTCTGAATTTATCCATCCAACCCAATGACCTTCAGGCTAGGCGGGAATGGGGATTGAGAATAAGTACAGAGCAAACAACATCCACGAAGAGCAAGTACAAGCATTGGTGGGAGCTAAAATTTTGTTAGCAGCAAAGTCACGTCTTTTTCCGCACCAACAGTGTACGCAAGAGTTCTATCAAAGCCAGACCTTTGGCTAGGAAAAACAACTATAAGAGATCAATAAAAGAGAGTCTACAATGCACATATCATAAGTGCCAAGAGCTAAAATTTTGAGGAAATCAATCAGAAACCAATTCTACCATCAGTTCATAACTGGAAACAAAATCAAGATACAAAACGTGAGACTGAAGAATTAGTAACAACTTGGTGCCATATCCAAAAGGGTCCCATATTAGAGACCGGTGAAAAGGAATCCGATAACAGAACGGTAAAATCGAGAAGAAACCACAAACATAAACTAAAAACAATCAGGAGAAGAACTAATACGAAACAAAACAAAAGGAAAAAGAACTTCCAACAATTAAATTTCTCCTCATTGATTAATTGAATAAACCGGATTCCTCTTCCCCGGATAACCCCATTATAAATCCCATCTCTTAATTTCTTAATATAATTCATGTTCATCCTGACTCCTCTTGGCCTTCTGAAGGACATCTGATCAGCTCTAATATATTAACTACCTCTCCCATATCTGGCCGGTTTGATGGAACTTGCGATGTGCAAATCAAGCCCAACTTCATAACTGGAACCGCCTCATCTGCTGGGAAATTCCCCTGGAGCCTTCCATCAACGCATTCTTCCACCCTGCCTTCTTCCAGAGCTCCTCTAACCATGTCACAAAGCACTACCACATCATCTTCCATGTACTCGACAGGTCTCTTGCCAGTAACAATCTCCAGAACCAAAACCCCAAAACCATACACATCACATTTCTCAGTTATCTTTACTGTTCTACAGGCAAACTCTGGTGCCATGTAGCCGAGAGCACTCTGAATTTTGCTGCTTAAAACATAGCGGTCTAGCATTGGCAACAGCCTGGCTAGTCCAAAATCACCAACTTTTGGTTCACCTGAACCATCGATAAGGACATTGCTTGATTTTATGTTGTAGTGGATTATGTTTGATTGATGCAAATGAGCCAAGCTTTTGGCGGTCCCTAGAATTATATTGAACCTCTCATTCCATGACAGAAAACGCCCACCTGATCCTTCATGGAGATGCTTATACAAACTACCACCAGAGACAAATTCATATATGAGAAGCTGTAAGGATTGAGTCCAGTAATAACCTTCAAGTGCCACAAGGTTTTGGTGCCTGATTTTCCCCAATTTCTTAACTTCCCTTGCAAAATCTTCTTGGGACTTGACAAGACTCGAGACTGTAAGCTTCTTAATTGCAACTGGACGCCCATCTCTGAGAACAGTCCGATACACTGCTCCAAACCCACCTCTCCCAAGTTCACAATCCTTGTTGAGCAGAGCATGCGCTCCAGTGCTAAAGTCAGGGTCACCGGAAAACATGACAAGTTTGCCAGAGTTGGCATCTGTAGTGGGAGAATCACTAAACCCATCACCAGCAGATAACGTAAGAGCAGCTGCAGATTGAGATGTTGATGACCGAACACGGAGGTTAAGCACAGTGATGGCAATCACACCAACAACAATGACAGCAGCAGCACCGATGGCAATGAGAGCAGATATGCTTAGAATGATTCTTTTGTGACCAAGATTTTGAGGAAGTGAGCCCGGAGTAGAATCAGAAGAAGAGTTCGGATTGAGAACAATGGGTTTGGGAAGGACTGCAGGGCAAGACTTATTGACTGCAGCACCACAAAGAGATGGATTTCCAGAGACAGATGACGGTGATATGGTGTTAAAGAAACCGCCTGCGGGTAGTTCACCTTGCAAATTGTTGTGGGAAATGTTAAAGAAGGAGAGGTTGGGAAGATTTGCCAACTGCTTGGGTAGGGTGCCAGTGAGGCTGTTAAATGACAAGTCCACATCTTGTAGGTTTCCAAGTTTTGCTATTGCTGCAGGTACTGTTCCAGCTAAGTTGTTTTGAGATAGGATTCTACCTCATTGAAAGAAAAAGAAAAACAAGAACGAAAAAGCTTGTGAGACTGATGAAGACATTATACCATCTTTAACCAAGATTAACGTTTAAGGAAAAAAGAAACAAAATTCAAAGGACAATGATCTTTTCCCATTTTGAAATGTGGACATCATACAAAAATGAAAAAGAACTTGAGCATCACATTCTTTTAGCTACGCTATAAGCAACTACAAATTCAAACTAACAACTAAATTGCTATTAAAAAAAAAAAAAGTCCAAAATCATAATCTATAGGCCGTATAATATTCAAAAGCAAACACCATCAACCCTAAGAATAAATAGGCATGAGGCCACTGTCGTGGTTTGTCAAAAATTGAGATCTTACTAACGTAAAAAAAAATATGGTTCTAACTGTTTTACAAAGAGCAATTGAAACAGAATTCATGAACCTTCTAACTCTTCCCTAACAAAATTGAACAAGGACAAGAAAACAGAAAACAAAACAGATAGAGCAAAGAAAGCTTACAAAGTCATTAATGAAGAACAGTTCTGTATTGAACTTGGGATTTGCCCCGACAGTGAGTTCCTCTCCAGTCTCAGTTCCTTCAAAGCAAATGCTCCTCCAATTTCCATTGGAATGCTCCCATTTAGCTTGTTATCACTCAAATCAAGGGCATCCAATTCCTTCAAATCTCCAAAAGTCCCCGGAATAGGACCCATGAGTGAGTTTCTTGACAGATTCAAGGACTTCAAGCTGCTTAAAACCCCAATGGAAGATGCAATCTTACCAGAAAAATTATTGTGCGATAAATCCAAGACTTGAAGCTTCGGAGCAGAGCTAAATTTTCCACTAAGCTTATTCTCCAAATGCAAAACTTTCTCCAAACTTGAACCAAAAATCCATACAGGAAGGTCACCATTCAGCAAATTCTGGCTAAAATCCAAAGCCAAAAGGTTTCCACAATTGGCCATTGATTCTGGCAAGTTCCCATTTAAACCATTTGCAGACAAATTCAACACCTTCAATGATTGAAGATTCCCAATTGAAGGTGGAACTTGACCCGAAAATCTATTCCCAGAAAGATCCAAAGTCTGGAGGCGATTCAGTTCACCAATCCAGTTTGGAACCTCACCAGTGAACATGTTATTACTCAAACTCAAATAATTAGACAAGCCAAGCTTCTGCATTGTGTCTGGAATGTACCCAGAAAGCATATTCTCACTGAAATCAACAGACCTCAATAACAAACAGCTTCCAATCCCATTTGGAACCTCCCCATTAAACCGATTCTTGCTCAAGTTAATACTCCTCAAATTGTTCAAAACTTCAACCCCTTTGGGAATCTCACCATCCAACAAATTACCAGACAAATCAAGTGACCTTAACCCATTCAAACCCCAAATCCCCGCGGGCAAAGACCCTGAAAACTGATTCGAACTCAAATTTATGGATGCAAGACTAGCACATGAGCTCAAAGAACCTGGAATCTTCCCTGAAAACCTATTGTTAGCCAAAGAAATAGCCCTCAAAGCCCCACATTCCTTAAAGAAATCCTCCGGTATTGTCCCGGAGAGACTGTTTTCACTCAAATCAATGATTATGAGGTTTTCAAGGCGAGTAAGGTTAGGATTAATGCTACCAGTAAGGTTGTTTCTTGATAGAGAGAGCTTGTGGAGGAACTGGAGCTGCAAGAGGCCACGGCCGATCCTACCTGAGAGAGAGAGCCCATCAAGAGTGAGCTCAGTGACCCGGTTGGATCTCGGATTGCATTTGACACCAAACCAGTTGCAGGGAGTGTCATCATCTTGGTTCCAAGATGAAAGCATTCTCTTTGGATCTTGAAGGTCTGCTTTAAAAACAATTAGACCCAAAACATCATCATTTAATGATGGGTTAAGGGATCTCACACATTGAATTTGAAAAGCTAAAACCAAGAAAGCTAATAAACTTGGCACCTTTTTTGCCCTTATCATTGCTAATTCTTATCAAGAAACTCAAAAACCACAACTACCCATTGCCACTTAGCTACTAACTAGATAGAAATAGAAAACAAAGGGAAAAGCTAAAAACCAGTGGTATATTCTTGGCTTCAAAAAGAAAAAATGGGGTCTTTTTTTTAACGGCTAGATTCGAAGAGGAGGGACAAGTAGAAGAGACAAAGAAGTCAAATTTAGCAAAATGAGACACCCAAAAATTTCTTAGCTCGAATTGGGAATGATGCTATTTTTCTCCCTGGTGAGCAAAAGCCAGAAATGTCCCTAGCTTTGGGGGGAAATAAAAAGCTTGAAGAAGTTGCAAACAGTTGATCTGAGAAAAAAAAAACAAGTTGCAAAAAGCTAGTGCATATGAAGCCGAGTTGAGAGGACACTCAAATGGTTAACCCGATTCCGGTGAAACGGTTAGGGTTCCGGTGAGAGTTGCCGTTGAAACGAACCAGGAAGCGAGAGAGAGATAGAGTTTGCTTTAAGGGTGTGTTGGTGTTTGAGCTGTGGAGGCTGTAAGAGAGAGAGAGAGAGAGAGAGAGGAGACAGATGGGCGTAATAAAGTTGTGATTTTATTAACGGGAAAAGAAGAGAAAAAACTGACCGAGCTGGTAGGTGGGGGCTATTTAATGAGATTTTTGACACGTGGCTCTTTATGTGAGGTGGATGGATTTTCCAACGTGGCTTCTACACGTAGTCCTTTTCACTGGTCTGGGAGTGAGAGAAAGGCTTTCCCTTTCCTTCCTTTTTCTTTTCTTTAAAACAACTGTGAAGGGATCATGGACGGACGATGCTTAATTTTGGTGTGCGCTTGAGGCCTGAGGGGGGCTACAACCCTTTTTTTTTTTTTTTTTTTTTTAAGTAATTTTTTGGGTAGTTTTTATTGGTATCAAGATTAAGCTAATTAATCAATAAATTTTATAATTTGCATGTTAATGGCATGTTGTCTTATAATGGATTAATAAAATGATTACATCACAACATGTGAACGTGGAACGGAAAGTGAATGATTTCACTCTTTTTTTTTTTGAAATAGAAATAAAAATAAAAATAACATCCTGAATGGTTTCCTCTTTTATATATATATATATATATAAATATATAGATATGATTTAATCAAAAAATAATAGATTTAATTTCGATTTATCTAAAAATTAAGCTAAAAATACTCCATCACTTGTATTATAAATAAATAAATAAATAAGTGAACTTTAATCATAAATCGACTGCGTTTAAAGCAAAGAATGGGATACATTTACGTGGAAACAGAACCAAAACAAATGAAAGGTGATGCAGAATTTGAAGGACATAGAAGAGGCAATATTGGGATTTTGTTTTGAGCTAATAATAAAAAGCCGAAGAGAAGGTTGAGTGTCATGAATTGGAGCCATGAAGGCAGGCAGACACAGGATAAAGAAAGAAAGAAAAAAGCTATAAAGTAGAGTAGGTGGAATGGTGGGTTTGTGTAATAAAGCAAGGGGTGAGGTTCTGCTGCTACTGCACACTACAGACGGGGTTGAGAGAGACTTAACTCACGCTTTATCACCTTTTCCTTCCATTGCAAGGGGTCCCCTCTCCTCCATTCTGTAGATCATCTCCTCTTTCCTTTGCAATCCCTTCAAGAATTGATCCTCTTGCATACTTATTTTTTAATCTTTGTTATATTAATTTATGTATTAATCTGAGCTCACTCGTTGCATGTTTAGAAACTTCTCTTCTTCCGAGACTCTCTTTTGTTCTTAGAAGCTTACTTGCCTTTTGTTGTCATTTCATTTATCACTTAAACCAAGACCCAAGAAAAAGGAATGCACCATTAGGGATGGCAATGGGGGTGGGACGGGGATAGTGGCTCTAAAAAAATTTACCTCATCTCCATTTTCGTTCGGAATGAAATTTTAACTATCGTCCTTGTTTTAAACAAACTGAGACGGACTCTTGTCAAATTATCATTTTTAAAAGTAAAATATTATCTCCACCTTTGTCACGTTTAAAAATTTTTTACCTCATCCTCCCTCCGCTTCTCATTAAAAACGAAATTTTAATTATTATTCCCAGCCTAAACGGGATAGAACGAGGCAAATTGCCATCTCTATGTACCATGAAGCTATTGAAGAAAAAGCTCTGGCTAAGATGTGAACCAAAGAATTGTAATGGTTGAAACATAGTGGAAAATTTCACATCGTTTTTGGCTGAAAAAAATGAATGTTTACCTAACAACATAGGTCAAGAGCCAAAATAAAAATTATTACTGATGCGGTTTCATTGTAAGCAACTCAACTACTCAAGTGAACCAGATTGATCAAAAACTTCAAATAATAATAATAAAAGGGGAAAAAAAACTGTGTCAATTTGCAATGCAAGCTTGACTGAGTTGAGCGTGGATAGGGTTGCATGATTCGTTTTTTAGCTAACTTCTAATAGGTCACCCAACTGCCTACTTAAGCAATATTACCCCCACCATCACTTTCAACTTAATCAACCCCTTAAAAAGCAAGTATTTGTAACGTATCCTGTCAGCATTATACTTTAAGTGTCAAAGAAAAGCTCGAATTCCATCTAATTCACAACATATCACCCTTTATAATATTTGTAATATTGCATTTGATGGATAACTTTTCTAGCTATATCATAGATTTTCTTGATTCAGCAAGTTTAGGGATTTATTTTGGTGCTCATAGTGCATCATTGTTAATAAGAAATGTGATGAAAAATTGTGCTTCTTCCGGAGTTTGATAGAGTAAAACTATATTTGGAATACATATAGGGTAACATCGCTTAAATCAATAGTTGGAGAATTTAATTGAAAGTTGCATCATAATCGGGGGACTTATTTTTTAAGCCCCTTTTTTCTTTTTTGGCTAAGAATGCCAAACAATTTATTTTAAACGGGTTAATTTCATTATTCGAAACAGATACAATTCTCCCAAAAAAAAATACGAACTCATAAACTCAAGGGAATTCGTTCGAGATCTAAAAACTCTACACAATCGCTTTCTTACCATCGGTAGGTCTTGGCGTAGCATTTAGGTGACCCATTTCATTCGGTGATCTTTCTCACTGATTCTGATCAAGCAGTCAATGGGTGGGTGGTGGTGGGTCAGAAAGTATATGTGCATTGCTTATTCGGTGGGTCGATGTCGATCAATTTTGAGCAAGTACATCTCATCGCGACCTGCACATTTCCATTCCTTCTAACCAAATAATTATAGTTGTCAACTTGTCTGCCTTTACTTCAGGTTTTATTCAATTGCTCGATAGCTCTATAACTCTCTAAAAATTGTAGTACTATAATGGACCTTATGGAGATATAAATTTTATAATATATAACGAGTAATTAATAATATTTATAATAGTTATTTTATAGATTTATTTAGAAGATAAAAATAGATACATAAAATAATATTTAGATTCATTAAAAGTGATAAAAAATTTTCATATTCACTTAATTTTTTTTTATTTTCTCTTTTTTTATATATATAAATCTATTTTTTTTAAATAAATTCATGAAATAATTACTATATTTATAAAATTTCTCCTCAAAACCTGGGAAATGATCGATGCTTTGCGTCTCTGCATGTGGAACGTTGTCTTATCATGTAAACTGCCGTAGTTTGACTTATTAGCAAGTTTGGAACTTACTCTATGGCTGGGGTATCTTCATTTTTTATTTTTTATTTTTCACTAACAATGTCTCAAATGAATGGCTTGTATTGGTATATATTGTTCTTAAATTGCCATCCTAATGGGAACCAGGACCTACCTATAGCAGGAGACAAAAACCTGGACCTTGTCGTCTACCCATAATAGCTACGACTCCTTGTGAAAATACAAAATTTGACATCTTGAGGAACGTCTTGTTTCCACCTCTGCAAATTGCTGTATATATATATATATATATAAACTCATATTATGGCACTCCTCTAACGTTCTTCTTTTGCATGACAAGAAAGTGATGAAGATAAAGCTGTTGGGGTTTCCATAAATAATAGCAGTAAAAATATTTAAAATGGCAGCCCGTCACCATGAGAGAAAGGAAAAGAAAGGGAAACGATCCTCAAAACTCCAACTAATTGAGATTGGCTTCCCTATTCTCTATGTAAAATAAAGCCAGACAATAAAACGACACTGTGTTTTTTGTTTTTACCTATTGTCTTTTACATTAGGGTACTGGTCAAGAAGGCACGCTGTCTGTCCACTCTTGGCGGGAATTTCTTCTTCTTGGAGAAACACTGGTAAATTGGATTGGGGAATATATGGTATTTAACGCTGCGTGATGGGGGGACCAATGCTTGTTATTCTTTTATCAAACACCTTTCACCATTTTCAATTTTGCCTCTACAAAAATGTTATTATTACCTTGATAATCCGAATTCCTTAATAAAACTACTTTTATTAACTAACTATAATCACCAGATTGACCTAGTTCGTGTGTTGCCCTATATGTTAAATGTTAGTTTCACTCCTCCCCATTTACTAAAAAGAAAACAACCCAATGGATCGAAGGGTGGATAAAAAAGACCAATGACCATTTTCTTTTTGTAGTGTTTATACAGGGATAGTAATGTATAAAAACAAAAGAAATGGAATTTACTCCATCTGTTTTAGAGGTGAACATTATTCGGTTAAAATCAAAAAATCAAATCGAAACAAATCGAATTAGTAATTTCAGTTAGATTTTTAAAAAAAAATTGAAAAAAAAAAACCAAAATTATTTTGATTCGGTTCGTTTTTTTTTAAAAAAAAATTTAGTTTCCATCGAAAACAGAATTAGTTTTTTTAAAAAAAAAATACGTAAGCTCTTTTTTTTTTTTTAATAAAAGAGGCATCTATGGGTTTAACCAAAAGAACAATAACTTTAATGATTTTTTTCTACCTAAAATAAAAATATTTTTTATTAATTATTTATTAAAATAATAAAATAATTGATTATATTATATTGAAAATAGTACTCAATTAATATGCAAGTTTGATATTTTTTAAAAGAAAAATAA